TGTGCTTTTGAATTCTGTCTTGTCAAGCATTCCAATTTATTTCTTCTCCTTCTACAAGGCGCCTAGAGCCACTATTAAGGAGATTATCAAGCTTCAAAGGTTTTTTTAGGGGGGGGGGGGGGTTGAGACAAAGAAGTTGATCAATTAGATTGCTTGGGATAAGGTGTGTTTGCCAAAGAATGAGGGGGGTTTAGGTGTTAAGAATTGCATGAAGTTTAATCCCGCGTTGCTCAGCAAATGGAGGTGGCATATTTTGAATGAGGAGAAATTTTTATGGACTAACCTTCTTTCTTGCAGGTATGGTGATATTAGGATATCTATGCTCTCTGATCCGGTGACTCACAAAAGGATATTTGTTCGGTTTGTTCGGTGAGAAAAGACCCATTTGAAAATTGGTTCCCTTTGTCCATTTCTTGTAATCTTGGGAATAGTGTGATTATTGATTTCTGGCTTGATTGTTGATTGGGGGGGTTTCATATCTGTAACCGATTTCCTTCTCTCTTTTGGTATGCTGATCATTCTTTATCTAAGATTTATGACAATGGTTTTTGGTTCAATGGTTCTTGGGAGTGGAATCTTAAATTCTAAGAAGGTTTGTTAGATGATGTACACGAGGAAAGTATTACGGATTTGCTTTGGTTTATTAGTATGGAGCAGCCCACGGTTGGAGATTCGGATAATTTTGTTTGGTGTAAAAATCATACAGGGTACTCGGTAAAGGCTACTTATGAAATGATTTTGGAAGGAGATTTTCGGGGTCGAGGCTTAGATGTTAATGTTTTTAGTGTGTTATCCCGCTTATGGAAGAATTATATTCCGAGTAAAGTTTTAATTTTTGGTTGAAGGTTACTTTTGAATAAGATTCTCACTCGAGTGGCGTTGTCAAAGTAGGGGTTTTATACGGGCCTCATAATTTGGTGTGTCTGTTGTGTTGGATGACGGATGAGGATTCAGATAATCTTTTTGGGATGTGTTCAGTGGCTTTGGGTTGGTGGAGCAAACTTTGTGATTGACTCTGTATTGATGCTTCTTCTATCACATGTAATATCTGTAACCGTATTAAGGTTTTAGAGTTGTCTTGTAAGTCTTTTTTTTTTTGTGGTTGATACTAGGTATCTTTTTGGGTTGGCTTTTTATTGGGGAATTTGGTGTTATGGGAATTAGATCATCTTTAATGGAGAAGTCTTGACTAATTTTGATACTATTGGAATGATTAAATTTTTATCTTGAGAATGGTTTATCTCATTCTTTAAGGTAGGGGATAATCTTGTTTGGTCGGATTGATGTGTCAATTCAGACACTTGTATCGGATTTGCTTAGTTTCTTTTTGGTGGGTGGTTGTCTTGGTGGTGGAAGGTGTCTTTTGACCCTCTTGTTTTTTTCTTTTAGATTAGCATCCCTTGTGCTAGTTTTCATTTAACACTCTTTGCTTATAATTTTTTTTTTACAACTCCTAAACATAAACAATAATCTTTATTATAGTTAATTTGTTTTGTTATAGATAGAAAAACTTCATACTATTTTATTTTGGACAAATATTAAATTCATACAAATGGTGTATCCTTTAGATTTCATCGGACTCATGTTATGGGTAAACGATATAGAAAATGTGAAAGTCAGATAAAATAAACAAAGAAATTAAAGGTTCAAAATAACAATAAAGCAAAAATATATAATAAGAAAAACTCCAAATTATAGAAAATTTATTGTCGGTATTAAATAAAAAATTAAAATTATGTAAAAATTATTACAATAGATAAATTATCTCCAATCACTTTAAAAATTAAATACACCCACACTTTTCAAATTAAATATTTAACCACTTTCTACGAGGCTCTAACAAAAGTTATAAGTTAAATAAGAAAAAGTAAAATATAATGTTAAAATGTTTTTGACATACATTTTGTAATATGAAGAGAATTAGAGTCCATAATATAGTTTTGGACTTGCAACTTGTATATTTTCAACCAAAATTAATAATCTCTACCACTATTGAAAATGATAAATTAGCATGTGTTACCTATGTAAATAATCATATTTTAAAGAGCTATCATATTCCACTATAAAGAGCATAATTATTTGGAGATATACTACTTCAAATATTATGATAAATTTTTAAAATTCGAGTCTGGCGTAAATCCTATTATATGCTTTATTTTTTGACCTGATCTGACTTGAAAGTCTATTAAAAAATTTGTTCCACATTAAGGCTTTTAAATAGTCAATTTTACTTATGAAGTCTTATAGATTGTCTTATATATACATATATAGGTCAACATATTTAGTATTTTATATATATATATATATAAGACTCCATAGACTTTTTTAATAGTATAAGTATGATCTATTTGATTAAACAGGCTTTATAGAATTTTTTAATAGCATATGCTTGGCCTAACTGGTGAAAGGGAACCTCGAAAAGGACGAAGAGCTAAGTGTATGCCTCTCGACCTACCCCCAATATTTCTCTAAATTATACCACTACGCAATCCCATCAAGCACGAGGGATTGTAGAAGCCGAAGTGTTTTAACCCTTGATTTATCTTCGGACCTTCCTAAGCGGCCTTGCTGAAGCTTCATTCTGACCTTTCAGTCTCGAATTTTCAAATGATCTTTCTGATTGAGGATTGGTTGAACCCCCTAGTGAAACTTAATTGAGTCTCTTGAGCGAGACTTAAAATGTGAGGCGTTGCCTCGTGTGTGGTTAGATTTAGGGCATGCACCCATGTGTTAGTGATGCAACCCAAGGACAAAACGTTATTGCATTCAACCCATGGTGTGAAGCGTATCTTCCAAGTTTCTGATTATAATATGAGCAAGTGATTGCATCAGTCAGTTGACAATAACTGCAAAGATATTTAGGCTAGGACTTGCAAAACATATGGAACTAGAGAAACCAACGTTTATTTGTAGGTGACACTTTTATACCTCATGGTAAGGCGGAACATACAATTGAGAAAGTGCATCAATACACACACCATGCTCATGTCCGGAAGAAAGCAACGAGAAGCAACAACAGTAAAACATCTTAACCTATCAAGTGGCAGGATGTTCAAGCTTCAAGGATGACGATTAACATAAATGCCGCAGTGTGCCATGATCTCAAAGCAGGATGTGGAGGCCTTATTTGGGACAATAGTGGCAGATGGATTAATGGATACACAAAGACTCTAGGAAGATATAATGTGTTAAACGTTGAACTATGAGGTGTCCTAGAAGGTCTAAAATTGGCTAACATAAATCATCTTACACGGATTGAGGTTCAATTGGACTCAAAGGAAGTCCTTAAAGCCATAATGCAGAAGAAATATCACATGGGGACAAGATTGAGTATAATAAAGATGATTCACCAAGAAATGAGTAACTTCTAAATTGTGAGCATCAAACATGTTCTTAGGAAAACCAATAAATGTTCTGATGGATTGGTCAAAATAGAAATCAGGATTAAACAATGTAAATATAGTTTAGATGCTTGTCCTAGAGAGGTTTTTAAAATGTACATTGATGGCATGAGGGGTGTTCCCATAAGAAGAAATATAGATTTGTACATTTGGGCTATGACCCTCCTTAACCACAAAAAAATTAGTTTTCTTAATAACTCATTTAGACCTTGATTGTTAAACTTTGTATCTTTAAAATTTATAATTATTTATAAAATGTTTAATAGATTTTTTTAAAAATTAATACTGATTTCATTGATAAAATTTTCTTTTAAAATAACCTATTAATTCGTAAATTGATTTCTCAATTATTTTATTTTGACAATATTTTATATTTGGCTATCATAGTTAATTAATATAATATACATTAAATAAAATCTTTTTATTTAATTTAATTCTCCTTTTTAGTCCTCAAATTCTTTTGTTGGAGATTTTTAAAAGTCATATTATATAATGCATTTTATTGCATTTAATTCCAATTTTTAGTTCTGTTTTTTAAGAAAATATATAACCAACCTTTATTTTTTTTATATTAAAATAATTATTTTGATACTGTTTCCTAAAATTTATTCATAAATTTTCTATATAAAAATGTTTAAAAAGCATATTATATAATGATTTTTATGTCCAAATTAAATATGGCAAAAAAATCCGTACCCGTGGATATCTGCTGGTAAAACTCGTCACGGGCACGAGTATGATAGTTTCATGGATATTCACGGGTAAAATAAATGAATATTTAGTTATCGATTTATTTACGGATATGGATATGGATTTGATGATATTCGTACATGCAGGTATCTGTTAATAATTAAAAAAATACTTAAATATTAATTTGTTTGATAAAAAATTATTATTATTATTATTATTATTATTATTATTATTATTATTATTATAAATTTTGTTATTATTTTGTTAAATATGATATTATTATGACTATTATTATAATTATTTTGATAAAAGAATAAATAAAATGAATTTGATTTATTTTTGTAAATATTTGTTATGTGTTAAATTTGAAAATATATATTTTTTGTCTTTAAAAGAGATAAAAAATTAATTTTTTAAATATATTTAAAAATATATATATTTAAAAATATATATATTTAAATAATAGTACCCATGAATACCCGTATATATCCGCGGGTATCTCAAAATCCACAAATACCCATCTAACGGATACCCGCACGAGTATGAGGCGGGTACGGGTATCATATTTATTAAATGGGGCGGGTAGCGGGAGACTAGTACCCGTGTCCATGGGTATCCATTGCCATCTCTAGTCCAAATCATTCTTTCCAATAGTATAATACTGTCTTTGTTCCTTTTTATAAGAGAAGATTTACTTTTTAGGTTCATTGAATAATCAATATATTTAGTCTATAAACATACCAAATACATTGATTATTCAATGAACCTAAAAAAGTGACTTGTCTCATAAAAAGGAACATATGTAGTATAATTACTATTGCAGACTAAAATGTAATTTAGCATTTATTTCTGCTTATTTATATATGTGAATCAAAATCAAACCTCAAACACGATTTCGAGAAAAATAAAATGGAAGCTTCAGTTTTCGCAATTGAGAAAATAATCGGTTACACTTTTCAAAATAAAAAGCTTCTAGAACAAGCTCTAACATATACTTCTTATCCATAATTTGTTTCATACGAGCGTCTTGAATACTTCAGTGATACTGTTTTAGGTCTCGCAATCAGCAATCACCTCTTCCTCACTTACTCCTCCGTTGATTCTAGCACACTCTTGCTCCTATGTGCTGCTAATGTTAGTACTGAGAAACTCGCTCGCGCTGTCGTTCGTCATGGTCTACACAATTATGTATGTCACAACATGGTTTCTATTGTTGATAAGATTAGAGAGTTTGCTGATGCGGTTGATGGTGAGGATGATTGTGTTATTGCTATGTATGGTGGATTGGTGGAAGCTCCTAAGATTCTTGCTGATATTATGGAATCTATTGTTATTGTTGTTTTTATTGATGTTGACTTCGACCTTACAAAATTATGGGTGGTATGATTTATTTTTCTGAGCAATTTCTATTCTTCATTGATTAATTCAATATGATGGTAAAATTTACAAATAATTGTTATTAATTTTGGAGTTGAATGGTTATATATTAAAGTTTAAAAAGGTGTAAAGTTAATGAAAGTTGCACATGATGAGCTTGTGCATTGTCCATGTTGTCTAAACTATACATTTTCTTGTTTGAGTGTATGTTGGATATTGATATCATTGTAATACGGTGGGAGAACTGACTTAGTTTTTTTGCATTTTATCTCAAATATTGCGAATAGCAAGAGTCGCCATCGACTTTTCTTTTATCCAATAAAGGAAAGGGTGAAAAGAACATGAAAGAACTTTTGAGAATTTTCTTGAGTTCGGGGGGTAGGTTATGAAAAGGAAAGGTGTTAGCATCCTTTTCATCCGTAGTTATCTACAGACTCTTAATCACTTGATCACTTTTTGAAATGCTTTGTGTGTTATGTATGTTTGAAAATGTTTTGAAAACGCCTAAGTATGGCAATTTTTGCAATGATTCTCGTATCGTTGAGAATGTATACTAAATGTTTGTTTTTGAAGATATTTGTGAAAGGAAGTGTTGTTTTGAAAAGATGTTTTGAAAATGCCAATGTGGGGAAATTTTGTAATGATTCTCGTATCGTTGAGAATGTATACAAATTTTTTTGTGTTGTACCCCAAAATTTGCCCTCTCATTTATCAAGAATTTGCTCACAAGATCTCTTTTGGCTCAAGACTGTACTAGGGTTGATCAGCTCAAGACACCTCCTTAAGCACCGATGACCAAAATTAGGGTTTGAGATTGCACAAGGATATTTGAACTTCCAATGCCCCACATGAATTTCATGGATCATTATGGACCCTCAAGTTTACTCATGTCAAGTTTCAAGCTTTGGATCACACTTTTGCTCAGTCAATTGAGTAGTTGACCTAAAAAATCAGCTGTATTGGGGAAAAAGTCAACTATGGCCAATTTACAGTCAGACTTCATAATTTTTGATCCACATCAACATTTTAAACTCATATATATCATTTGATCAAGTTTGGACCACAATTCCTCAAGAAATTTGATCAAATCTTCAAAAGGGCAAGATGGTCAAAATTAGGGTTTTGACTTGGAATACCTAATGACATGCCTCAAGACATTGCTCAAGTCCAATGGATTGACAAATGAATTTTCAATTAACTGGTCAAAAGTCAATTGTACACTGAAAAGTCAAACTTTGACTTTTTGGTCAAAAATCAAATGCCAAAGATCACAATTCATCAAAGCATGTCAAAATATGAAACTTATTCATCAAGAAATCAAAAAGTCAAGATTTCATTTTGAAAAGTCAAAATTTTCAAACTTATAAATTTTTCTAAGTGTTGAAAGTTTCTTGTTTTTTCACAACTTTGAACAAATTTTTCACCATGATGCAAGCTGATTCAAAAGAAACTTCCAACATGAAAGTTATATATCTCCATGAAATATGCAACTTTGCTTTACACAACTCCTTCTAAAAGTGCTTGGATCTCAAGTTATAATTTTAAGAACACATGGTCATGAAACAAAACACTTAGTGAAATTTTACCCTAATTTGGTCAAGATTTTGACCCAACTTCATGGCCCTTTTTCATATAGTTCCAAGGAGAGTTTTCAAAAGTGATTAAAAGATGGGTTATAGAGCACATTGCAAGCTTTCCAAAATGTCAAAGAACTCCTTGAGATCATTTTTTAGTAGGGAGAATCAAAGAGATGAAGTTAGGGTTTTATCACTTGAATTACAAGTCATTTTGTGATGAACAAATTCAAAATTCAAAGTTATGCTGCATAACCTCTACTTTCCAGGCCTCAAACTTGTTAGGTACTCCATAATTAATTGCTTGCATAGCTTTTAGAGGTCTCATTTCAAGCATTCAATGCAAGACCATACTTTATATCCATTTTGGGAAGAAAGTTCACATTGTCATTTTGATAAAGTGACTTTTTGCACAAAACTTGTTCTTGAGCCTTGCACTTGTTCTCTTCTGATCATACATGTCTCATAACACAAGAGAAATGGTTTAGACACTTACAATCACCCAGCCCATGCTTGTACTTCACATTGAAACTTGGTTTCCCACTTTTCTTGAAAATCAAGCAACATAGAAATTAGCTTGAAACTTGTACTTCTGACTTGCCAAACCACTCAAGACTCTTTTCTTATAGATACACAAACCATTTGCCACAAAACACACGCATGATTGACCCCTAAAAACACCAAGAGCTTAGAACTGCATCACATACCTCCATTATTGCCCAACCTAACCAAAAGTTTGAAACTCACATCTCCCTCGTGTGTTTTCAAGCATTTTGGTTCCTAAAGCTTCTAAACATCATGTAGAACTTATCCCACACCCTGTTACAAGACTGTAACACCATTAACACCATCCTCCATTTTCAAAAACAGAGCTTTGCACTTGGACTTCTCCAGAACTCCTCAGGTACTTTCAGCTCAAGCTAAGCATCTGTGATCGGTGGAAATAGAACTGACTGTTTTTTTAAGCTGGTTCGCGAAATGTCGCGGTAAGCAAGAGTCGCCACCGTCTTTTATGTTCTCCAACATGGAAAGGACAAAAGCACAGCAAAATTCCTTATTGAGAATGTCTCTCGGTTCAGGAGGTAGATTTATAGAAAGGGAAGGTGTTAGCATCCTTTCTATCCGTGATTATCCACGGGCTCTTAGGTACTTGCTCTTATGTTTTCAAAAATGTTTGCTTTTCAAATGTGTGTGGGTTTTGAAAAAGTTTCATTGAAAGATTTCTGAATGACTCTTGTATCTGTCCTCAAGAGTGTTTGAAAAATTTGTTTTGAAAGCTTTTGAAAGTGTCAGTGTGAAAAGATTTTTGATTTGTTTTTGGAGAGAGCAAGTACCCATGAGTCATCTACCTACCCTAAGGAATTAGGCTATGTAAAAGTCCTTAAGGTAGTGCCATCCCACCATTGAGAGGTAGGTAGCACCACCGTTGGAGGTGTTCGGGTCAATTCGATTTTAGGGATAGTGTGGTCACCGAAGCAATAGTAGGACACCTTAGAAGTAACCCTAATGTCCTAGATCCTTTTTAATCCGAGGCAACCGTTTCGAGGCGACTGGATCTTAGACATCAGAGCGACCACTAAAACATCCTATACTTGATGACCACTTTCGAAGGCAACGAGTGAGGCGTACCCTAGAAGTGGTGTGTGCGTTGTGTGTTGTTTTCATGTTATGTTTTATCTTTGATCATGGCATTGTGAGCTACGCGTTGTTTTTAGTTATCATACATTCTTTCATGCGAGTTTAGCAGTTAGGAGTGCGGAAAAGGAAATACGGAAAGATAAAAGCTACGCTATTACAAGGTGCGGGTCTATACATCGCCAAAAATACAAAGACCCGTTTTTGGTAAATAAGTACGAGAAATAATAAATAAAGCAGTAAAATCCTAATTACTATTACATCCGGAGGCAGTTACATAATAATCAAAAATAAGGAATTAAAACTAAAATGCGCGCGAAAGAAAGAATCGGGAATGTCCTAAGGGTGTTGACCCTTTTTAGAAAAGAAATTGATTTTTTTGTCTTTTTGTAATTAAAATGAAATTAAAACTAACTAATGACTAATTAATTAATTTAATTAAAAGAAAATATTTTGTGTTTTTTTTATGTTTTTATGAAATAAAATAAAAAAATAAAAAAAGAAATAAAATTAAAAGTTAATTTTACCTAATTCTAAATCTATTTTAATTATTAAGAAAAGGAGTTAAAATTGCCTAATTAAAGCTAATTTATTTAATATTTATTTACAAAATAAAATAATAATAATAATAATGATGTTAGTTCTTGTTTTTTTTTATTTTTATAAAAAATATTAGTTAAGTTAATAGTTAATAATAAAAATAATTAAAAGGGTTAATAAATAAATTGGAAACTATAAAAAAGAAAAGAAAAGAATAAACCAAAGGCAGGGGGTATGGGCCAAATAGGAGGTGCATTGTTGAATCCTGGCCCATTTGAATCTTCAGCTCGTTTGACTTCTTGGATTGAGTGGAGCGCTGTTGACTCCTGAGCATGGTGCTCTTGCTTTCCGGGTCTTTAAATCTGCATCTGTGGACACTTGGCTGGCTCTTGGATGAGGTTTATGGTGCTCATCATTTGAGAATCTGCACAGGAATGCCTTGAAAAAAATAATATGAGAATTATGGGGGACCTGGGGATCGAACCAAGGTCCCAGCGCTTGCAAGGCACCTGGCCAACCACTACACCAAGCGCGTTAGTTTGTATACATAATGGGAACCAAATATTATATATATAAAAAACGCGTTATATGCTGAAAAATAAAGAAAAGCGCGCGTGGTTTGAACCAACCACACACGCCTAGACACCTCATCATCGTCTTCCTCTTATCTGCAAAAAAGAAACAAGATAGCGGGGGTTTTTAACCCCCACTAAATGTAATGACAGAAAATAGCGAATAGAAATAGGGATAACATAAAAAAGGCGCGAGGTATCCATCCTGTTCGTCTCATCATGCTGAGTTTGACCATATATGTTTGGAGTCCTGATTTTACAGTATAGCAAAACCCTCAATTCTAAACCTTGAAAACCCTAAAGTGTTTTAATGGCAAGTCATGATTCTGTACAGGATAATGAAATTAAACAATGCCAAAGGCTTTGGGAAGATGTCAGCAACACAAATCAATCAAGAGAATGTATTAAAAACGCATGGAATATGATATGTAGATTTGGAAATATATGCAAACCGTATGAGTTGTGTGGCACGAATTCTTGAGGTTTTGCACTTAATTCTGATTGCAAAAGGTTCCTGGTGATGTAAGGAACGGGTTTGGATCAAAAAGAAAGCTTGAATTGTACTGGGCAATGGTTTTCAGTTTGTCACTTTTCTCTTGAAAATTTGAAATTTATTTGGCCATTTCTGAGTGTTCTAGGTCGGTCCTGTGTTGCCAAGGCTTGCATATATGTTTTGTAATGAGAATCA